TAAATAATATATTATAATAATAATTAATATATTATTATATATTAATAAATAATATATTAATAATAATTAATAATTATTAATATAAATATTTATTAAAAATCATTAGAGTTATCAATTAATATTGATATTTTAGAGAGATATTTATTAATTTTTATAGATATAATAATAATTCTTAATGAATATCTTTTCAAAAAATTTTCTAATATAGGATGAAATTATATCTTTATAATTTTAATACTTATATATTTATCTTATACATTCTATAAGTATCTAATTTTAGTTCATTAATCTTTATTATAGTAATAACTATTATCTTTTTATCATTTGCAAGTTTTATTATGACTAGTTCTGCAGTTTTACTTTATTCTTTTATATAAACTTTTTATCAATAAAGTTTCTTAATATATTATTATCTAGCAATATTCATACTGATTTGTCATTTATTTGATTATTAAACTTTAATAATCTCTTTCTATTATCTTTAAGATGAGTAAATTTAATTCTCTCATAAGATTATGAAAATTCTCCTTGCCTATCTTCTGTATTTGTTATTTTAGTCTTGGATTTAGAATAATAATTCTTGATAAAATGATTTGATTTATTATAATTATAATATATAACTTTAGATTTATTATTCTTCTAATTATTATTATTATTTTTTTTATTATAATAGCTTTCTGCTTAATCAAGTTTTATTGATATAGAATTATTATTCTGATAATTTCTATACTAATTGTATAAATAATAATTATTATTATTATATTTACTTGATAAACCTAAAGATTTGCCTTATTTATATATTATTATATCATATTTAATTGCTAATTTTCAAGCTTCTTTTAAGATTTTTAATATCTGATAACTAATTTTTATTTTGATAATGATTTTAATTCTTCTATAAATTATATAACTTGATTTAGATTATCTATATTAGTTATTTGATTAATTATATTTCTGAATTTAATACTATAATCTTATATTAAACTAGTTTGATAAAGAAGATATAGTTATCTGTGAAGATATTATTAATAATGTGATAATTAACATATATATCTAAAAGCTATAAATAAAGACTTGCCAATTATCAAAAGATAAGATATTATTATCTATTTTAACTTTATTAAGATATCAATATAAGATTATATCTGTCAAGAAGATAATAATATACTGTATTTGAGTTTTTTTATTTGTAATTTCTTGGATTTGAAATATTATTTTAACTTGTATAATCCAAATAAGTACATTCTTATTTAATTCTCTTAAGTATATTAGTATTTTTACTAAAAATAGAATATAGATTTAGAATCAGAAGGATCATCTTCTTTAATTATCTTAATTAATTTAGTTATACTCTATATAAATTAGGCAAATTATTTTAAATTTATTTTGATAAATTTATTTTACTAAAACTAAAATATATGTATATATATGTAATATATGATATGTAATATATAAGATATTAGAAGATAATCTTTATAATAACCATATCTGCTACTATTAAGTTATAAGATTATTTTATTAATAATTATAAACAAGATAAAATATGATATGAATAGTTTTAATTTTATAATTTATAATTATTTTTATTATTTAAAAGTATTCAAATCTGAGATAAAAATACAGAACAGAAAGGTCATATTTATAAGAAAGAAATAAATACAAAATACAAATAAATTAATATAAATTTCTAATTTAAATTATATATGAATTAAAAGAATTAATTAACTTAATTTACATTTTTGAAGAGTAACTAATCATAATCCAATAAATAATAATATAAATAATAATTAAGAAGAATGAATAAAAATATAAAGAAAATATTAATAATAAATGTAATTAAAAATATTAATAAATTAAATTAATAATTGTAATATATATAATAATTATCTGCATGACAATGTATTAAATCTAATGTATTAAATACATAATGATCATCTGTATATTCAGAATGAAATTGATCTTCTTAAAAATATAATATAAAACTAATTTGTAATACAGATAGCGCAAAATAAAGATCTAGACTTAAAGAAAGATAATCCAATCAAAATTATTACAAAAATATTGAATTATATAAATTTAATTAAATTAATTTAATTAATTAATATATATTTTTTTGAATAAAAATTTTAATTATTAATATAATTTGTAAATTTTTTATAATAAATTAATAAATTAAAAATTATTTCTATTAAAATTTATTTATAAGTAAGATAAATAAAAAATTATTACTTAAGAAAATTTTTTGAATTTTTATAATTTGAATCTATTAGTAAAAATTTATTATAATTCTATATTAAAAAGATTTTATTATAAATTGATATTAAAATAATTAATTAATCTATTATATAAATTATAATAAAATATTAGACTCAAGAAAAATATATAATACATAAAAAAAGTTACTAATTATATAATTACTGATCATTTATTATTTATCTTTAAACTTGCTATATTAATATCTTTATTATTAATTTATCTCTAGTTTTTTGTTATATATTATTAAGCTTTTTTATATAAGATATAATTGATAAAAAAAGAACTTTTTATTTTTGAATGCAATTTATTAAAGCCTAAAGATGTGATTTTAAAAAGAAAGAGATTGTTAAAGCTTTAGATTATTGTTAAACTACTATTTATAGTATTATTTTTAGTTATAAAGATTATAAATATGAAGTTTCATCTCATATAACTGACAAATCATTAATAAAAATCTTTGGTATTTAACAAATATTCTTAAAAAATAAATCTTAAAATACTATATGAAGATTTTATCAGTTCAATTGCAAAAAAATCTGTAAAAAAACTTTAAGTAAGTATCATTATGAATAAGATTTTTATAATCAAATTGATATTAGAAAACTATTTATAAGTGAGAAAAATAAAATAAAAAGACTTATCTTAATTAGAAAATAAAGAGAATAGACAGATATATGGGAAAGTGTGATCTGAAGTGATGAATTCAAGCTTGAATTATTCAGAGAGAATGGTAAAAGATTAGTTTGGAGATAGTCTTATGAAAAGTATGATTTAAATTATTTAATTTCTACTGTAAAGCCAGATCAACAAGAGATAATAATGTGAAATGCTTCACAAAATATAATCTTGGTCCATTAGTAAAATTAGATGGAAAAATAACAGCTGCAGTCTATGTGATATATTAAAAAATTACTTATTACCATGCATTCATATACATTGCAAGAATAGTTAAAAGTTGGAAAGAAGAAAATGAGGTTGATAGTATTCCATAACCTGCACAGAGGCCGGATCTGAACCTAATTGAAAATTTATGAAATGAGCTAGAGAGGCAAGTTCAGGCAAACATCCCATTACCAAAAAATTATGGGAAATACTTCAAGAAGAATGGTTAAATATAGATATTGATAAATATCAAAATCTTGTTAATAGCATGCCCCGTCAAGTTGCTGTTGTTATAAAAAGTAAAGGTCATTCAACAAGTATAAAGTTGTAGTCTTTATCTTTTAAATAAAATAAATTTGGTGCAGTAATTATCGTGTTATAACTTTGCATTAAAATCGATCGGTGTCACATGGTCGGTGATTTATTTCCGCGCACTGTACATGTATTAGATAAACTATTGGATAATAAACTACGAAAAAGGAGATTCAAGTGTAATCGTTATACATGTATTTGTAACACTATGAAAGTTATTTTTATGTTCGGAACGGAAAATGTATAGCGTAATACATGTAATTAATATAGCATATTGTATTACGTACATAAATGTAGTAGGAATGGACTTTGATGAATGTCACGTTACACAAAGAAGTCTTGAAAAAATTATGGAATAAGGAGAACGAAAGTGTTTAATTAAACAATGAAAAAATTTCTAAATCTGAAAGTGAGTGACTAAAAATTTCTGAAAGTTGGATTATTTGTCAAACATACATGTAATCAAAATACATGAATTACGAACTATTCGGGGAAGTAAATGATAAATATTAATAACCGGTTTTGCCCAAGATAATTTACTTATAATAAGACATGAATTCCACATTCTCCACAACAAAACACATTTCAAATTCACAATGAAGAATCTTACTTTAACACTTATTCTTACTATTGTAATCTTCATTAATTCCATTTTCGCTACTCATTTGAAATGGAAAAGAGACGAGTTTTTACTACTTGGTCGGCATAACGTTGACGAAATATTTATTAAAAACGGATCTTTGGTAACAAGGGATTATTACTATTGCGACGCCGGATATTATCAATGTTCAGATAATAAGGGATGTTGTCCTATTGGCTCAGCTTGCATACCAAATACTATTAAATGTGGTATAAGTTGTGGTGTCAATCCTGTACCTTGCTACGGTGGTTGTTGCTTTGAGGGCGAAATCTGCCTCAGCTCCGGCTATTGTAGTAAAGTATCATCACCGCCAGCCCCGACATATGTATCAGTGGCATCACCACCAGCAGTGACAGTAACGTCGGTAGCATCACCACCAGCAGTGACAGTAACGTCAGTAGCATCACCACCAACAATGACAACAGTGACAGGGATATCACCACTGGTATCAGTGACATCAACATCATCACTGACAATAGAAACAACATCCTTATCAGCAGCGACAGTAATATCGATACCATCATTACAGACTGGAACATCAACGACCGGATCAACAAATAATCCATTCTTGAATCATAATACAGCCAGTTTAGCCATAGAAAACAGTTCAGTCATGTTAATAGCAATAGTCTTAGTTATTCTTGTTTCACTGAATTTAGTATAATATTTCCCAGTTATTATTTTAAATGGATATCATAATAATATGTATTTTATTTGCTTTGAGTTTCCAGCACATGAGTTTGTTTTGCAAAAATATTAATAATTATGGTAATGTTACGTAATTTATTATTAACTTTACTTATAATTTTTATTTTGTATATCGTGCTGATATATTTTTATTTTTTGTTCTAGGTATTTTGTTACTGAAAAGAATAGTCAATAAATATCTATTAGAGAATATAATAACTTTTATCATAAAACATGACATTTCGATTCAGAAATCATATAATTTCTAATTTGGATTATTTTTAGATTTTCATTTTCATTTTTTTTTTGTTTACCGGGAGTAGTTACATGTACATGTATTTTGAAATTCATGACTCGAACTAAA